GAAGCCGGCGACTGATCTGCCTCGCCAGAGAAGAGCGCAATGATGGTGCCAACTTGGCCCAGTGAAGCAACAACCTCCACAACTAGATTGAAGAACAAAACGACAGCAACTTGTCTGTTCCCCTTTCCCCAATTCCCCAACACTGTTCCCATCCCCCCAATTCCCCAATAAAAATCTTTAAAAAAAAAATGAGAGAATAAAGGGGGGAAAAAACACATGATCATATCAATTGATGCAGAAAAAGCACCTGATAAAATTCAACATTCTTTCATCATAAAAACACGCAATGAACTAAAAATAGAAGGAAACTGCCTCGACATAATAAAAACCATACACGAAAAATCCATAGCAAACATATTCAAGGTGAAAGACTGAAAAGTTCTCCTCTAAGATCAGGAACAAGGCAAGGGTTACTACTTTCACCACTTCTATTCAACAAAGTACTAGAAATTCCAGCCAGAGAAACTAGGCAAGAAAAAGAAATAAAAGGCATCCAAAGAGTAAAGTAAAATCATATCTGTTTGCAGATGATATGATCTTATGTAGAGAAAACTCTAAAGAATCTACCAAAACTAAAATACTGTTAGAACTAATAAGTGAATTCAGCCAAGTAGCAGAATACGAAGTCAACAGAAAAAAAGTTGTAGTTCTATACATTAACAATGAAGAATCTGAAAAGAAAATTATGAAAACAATTCCATTTATAATAGTATCAAAAACAATAAAATAATTAGGAATTAATTTACTCAAGGAGGTGGAAGACTTGTACAATGAAAACTGTAAAACATTACAGAAAGAAATTAAAGAAGACATAAGTAAATGGAAACACACCCCATATTCACAGATTGGAAAGCTTCAATTGTTAAAATGTCAATACTACCCAAAGTGATCTACAAATTCAATGCAATCCTTATCAAAATCCCAATGATATTTTTTTTTCAGAAATAGAAAAACTCATCCTAAAATTCATATGGAATCTCAAGAGACCCAAAATAGGGCCTGAATAGACATTTCTCCAGAGGACATACAGATGGCCGACAGACATGAAACGATGCCCAACATCACTAATCATCAGGGAAATGTGAATCAAAACCACAATGAGAAACCACCTCACCTGTCAGAATGGCATCATCAGTAAATCAACAAACAAGTGTTGGCAAGGCTGTGGAGAAAAGGGAACCCTCCTGTACTGCTGGTGGGACTGCAGATTGGTGCAGCCACTATGGAAAACTGTATGGCGGTTCCTCAAAAAATTATAAAATAGAACTACCTTATGACGCAATTCCACGTCTAGGTATTTATCCAAATAAGTCCAATAATTTGAAAAGATGTATGCACCCGTATGTTCGTTGCAGCATTATTTACGATAGCCAAGATACGGAAGCAACCTTGGGGTCCATCAACAGATGAAAGAATAAAAGAGACGTGGCCATCTACACTACGGAATATTACTCGGCCATATAAAAAGGATGAAATCCGGCCATTTGTGACAACACGGATGGACCTGGAGGGTATTACGGTGAAATAAGTCAGACACAGAAAGTCAAATACCATATGATTTCGCTTATATGTGGAATCTAAAAATCGAAATAAACAAACACACAAAAACAAACCTGGTAGAGACCAAGAACAAACTGATGATCACCAAATGGGAGGGGGGAGGGAGACAAGTGAAAAACGTGAGGGGAGTGCAGTCGATAATATTGTGAAAAGTTTGTGACAGCACAGTGACAGATGATTACTAGACTTAGTGCGGTGATCACACTGTAAGGTATATAAATGTTGAACTACTTATATTGTGCACCTGAAACTATTTTAATACTACATACCAACTATATTTAAACAATTTTTAAAAAAAGAACCACAGGCACACACACTTCAGAAGCCAACAGTCACACACGCTTGGAAACCACAGGGACACACGCCCAACATGGCAGCACCCCCGTGGGGACCAACACGCGCTCCCAGCCGGGCCGCCCGAGGCGGCGCCACTCGCCTGCCCGGACCCCTCGCCCCCACCTGGCGCAGCGCGGCCTCCACCGCGCCGCCCTCCTGCTGCCGGAGCTGCTCCCGGAAGCGCGCCACCTGCTCCAGCAGCGCGTCCACGAGCGAGGGCGCCGCGTCCCCTTCGAGCGCGGCCAGGCGGGCGCGGAGGCGCTCTATGAGGGCGTCTCGGGCGGCCAGCTGGTCCTGCAGGCGCCTCAGCCGCTGCCCGGCCTCGTGGTACAGGCCGCAGAGCGCGGCGGCCGCGCCGGGGGCCCCCTCCCGCCCACCGGACCCCGCATCCCCAGACGACATGTCTGCGGGCCTGGACGGGAGGGCGCGCGGCCGCCAGACACTTCCGCGCCCGGTCGGCGGGCTGCCCACTTCCCCGGAACTTTAACCGACGTGCCCCGCCCACCGCCCAGAGCCCGGCCCCGCCCAGAGCCCGGTCACGCCCACCGCCCAGAGCCCGGCCCCGCCCAGAGCCCGGTCACGCCCACCGCCCAGAGCCCGGTCACGCCCACCGCCCAGAGCCCGGCCACGCCTACCCATCTGGGCCTGGGCCTGGGCCCGGGCTTTGGGTCTTGTCCAGCCGCGGATGCTGGGCTTGTCCCAGCGGCCCCCCTCCCCCCCGCCTGGGGAGTCAGGCCCAGACGAGAAGGGATTGAGAGGCCTCTGATGTACCTACTGATGGGAGGGAAAGAGGGGCATCAAAGATGACACCAAGTGTTGGACCTGAGCGTGGATCCAAATCCCCCAGCTGCACGCCAGTTGGCCACATGGAGCAACAGGAAAAGGGCGACGTTCCAAGCCTGAGCCCAGAGAAGCGCCCTAGCCACCCTGAGTGCATGGCAGTGCCCCCCACCCTGTTTCCCACAGGCCCCTCTCTAAGGTCGGGAGTATTATTCTTGGAGCGGAAGGCGGAAGGGAGTTGGATCTTTTCCACCCTCTCTTCTCAACATCCCTTTCCTAGTCCCAACTTTCCAGACCAACTCCGAGTGTTTTTCCATGGCTCTGGCGATTTTCTTTTTCAAAGTCCGAGTTTCCTCCACGATAATGCCCAAGCACAAGCACACGTGTGGGCTTTCAAAGGCTCCCATCAGCAGAATCCCTGCTGGCCACTCCCCCCAGCGTGTCCCCCTCCTCCTCCCCGTCCCCTGAGAGGAGCGTCGTCTTGTGGCCCCTTGATGTAATTCATAGCCAAGCTTGGGCTGAGCCCACGGAAAACACTCACAGGTGTGTAGAATCAGACAAGCGTATCAGCAAAGCTCCCCAGCGCTTGCTTCTCTGCATAGGTGAGGTCAGAGCCAGTGCCCTCCCTACCTGGTAGGGGTGTGGTGGGGACTAGAGCATGGGGTGCACAGTGCCTGCCCCGCGGTTATCAATGTCACGTTCTGGTTGGCTGAGGCAGTAACGGAGAAAATGAAAGCACTGGCCCCAGGCCTGGTAGAGCTGGGGTGAGTCTTCATTTCTGTTTTTTTGTGTGTAACCTGGGGTAGGTCGCTATGAAAATAATGAAAGGAAACCTCACCAAAACAGAGTCGGGAGGCCAGAAGGGGGAGCCCTCACACAGTAATACTTGATGCCAATAACAGGAGGATGAGGGAGGCAACCCCTCACTTCTGTCTGGCTGCCCCTTTGACCTTGCACCCTCTCCCTGACAGTGCACGTGGGGCTGAGCGCAGGGCTGTGAGCAGTGGAGAGCCAGAGCCCCTGAAAACCAGAGGAGAGGCCCTCACAGGACCCTGGGGGTGGAGGGGAGGGAGGTGCAGGCCCCTGGAGGGTTCTCTGGCCACAGCCACAGTGCCCAATAGCTCACTATTAGCCACCTGGAGGAAGGACCCCTGACCCAGCACCCACAATCGTGTCTTGACTGGGTGATCCAAATGCAAATTCTGTGGGGTTTACATTCAGTTCTTGGCAGGCGCAGGCGCCTCAGAGCCGCTGGGCTCATGGGCAGAGCTCAGGGATGCCTGACACCAAGAAAGGGGCCAAGGCAGTGCAGAGGAGGCTTGGCTGGGTGCCAGGCTGGCTGGGGCCCTGGGCTGTGCCCCTCGGGGTTCTGCCTGCCCTAGATGGCACTCTGTGCCTCGGGGATCCCCCACTGGGCCCTCCCTGGAGTGTCCACAAGGGTGTGATGTGACTGGCGCTTCTAGGGGCCAGGGGACTTGGGGACCAGAGCCTCAGACAGGACCCAGAGTGTGTGCAAACCCCACGCTCCCCCCGTGTCTGAACATACACAACCAAACTCTGGGTACCCAGGTCCCCTGTCACTGAACAGTGAGTGTGTCTATGTCCAAACCTGTAGAGAATTGTTATAAAAATTTATTTGAGCCCAAACTGATACCATCTGCCAGGGAGCAAGATCTCAAATGCTCCAGAGAATAATTTTTCAGCTTCTTTTATGCATTTGGAATTAAGGAGGGAACGGAAGGAAGGTGACACGGAGGTGGGAGAGCAAGGCGGGGATTGGATTTCAGGAGAGTTAACGCAACTATGCTATGCTCTCCTGAGGGTGGTTATGGGTTATTTCAAAGAAGCGTTAACCTAGCTGCATAGAAACAATTGGATGGGGCTGCTTAAGGATTAGAGGCCTGGGACATGACGACCCACCATGACTTGCCAGTTAGGGATTTATGATCAGATCACCCTGTGAGGTCACTCCACAGAACCCCTATTTTGTCCACAGCTGGGTGCCAGCACCCCGACTCCTGGATGTTCCCAGTCACACACAACCTGTCCCTGCTGTCCCAGAACTCTCCTTCATGTCACTCAACAATCTTGTTCATTTCCAAGTTCATGTCAGAGGTGCAGATACTGACCTGCTCTCCCTCGAGGGCACCTGCACAGTAGCAGGAGAATTTAACTTCAGTCCTGTTGGTCTAAACTGTGGTTTCGTCCAGAAGCTCCCATGGCCTAAGGAGGTGTTCAGCTTGCACACAGCCTCCCCTCCCCACCCCTAAGATGGTGTCCAGGTGGATTGGAAAAGGGAACTCAGAGTTCCATGGCTTTGGGGAAAGGGGTCCCTGGGTGAGCTGGTCGTGTTGACGAGCCTCCGTGGTGATCACCCTTGTCTTCCCGATTGCCGGTGCAGTATGGAGCTGGATGGACACTTGGGGGCAGGGGTGATAGCAGAGGGGAGAGGCTGCAGGTCTCAGAACAGGGGCCATGGCCAACTTTGCTGCTGTGTTCGAGATCCATGCAAAGAGCTCAGAGGAGCCAGAGACTGCGGGCTTGGAGCTGGCCTTTCCAGAGGCTGCCAGGCTGCCAGTGAATAAGAATGGAAGATGTCTATGTCATGGTTTGGGGCTGGATGTGTAGCTCTGAAAGCTGTGGACATGTGTACCAGCTGTCCTCTGTCCTCCCACAGTCCGTGACCCGTTGCTTCTCTGATGCTCTGCCACCGAGAGCTTCCCAGCCATGTGCAGTTGTGGCTGGATCAAAGTAGGAGAGGAAGAAGCATGAAGAATTCCCGTCCAGGCTCGACAGGCCCAGGACCACTGTTGTTGCTGGATCTGCTTCTGGAGAACTTGCTCTTCACCTGACAGGCTAAGAGGGATGGCAGTGCTGGGACAGCACTTAGTCAACGGTCTTAGGGTTTGCAAACCGGAAACGCAACTAGGCAATACCCAGAGTGTCCCGAAGAAGAAAGAAAAGCGGAGCATTCCTATAGTAAAAGCACGTCTTGAGAAGGCTCAGTTCTCTGGATTGGTCTGAGATGGTAACCTTCCGGATGTCTGGTGGTTTGGACATGTGAACGTCCTTTCCTAAGTCCTCCAGGGTTCATCAGAGGGTTGTCTGTAGGAGAGAGAGAGAGGGAGGGAGGGAGAGAGGGAGAGAAAGAGAGAGAGAGAGACAGACAGACAGACAGACAGACAGACAGACAGACAGAGGAGGAGGAGGAGGAGGAAAGTAGAAGAAGAGATATCTCTCTGGGCATGACTGGAGAGTTCAAAAGTTTGAGTTCCCAGGCTACTAAAAGCAAGCATAGAATCATTTCCTCATGCTTCAGTCTACATGATTTTAGTAATTTAGCGCTTGACTATAGTGACTGCATTTTATTTCTCCACTGTCTTCCTCAGCATAGGGAACGCATACAGACTTGGGTGGGGTGTGTGAGAGAAAGTCAAGGAGGACTTGAGGTCATGGGCCTGAGCAAGGGAGGAGGGTGGCGCTACCCTTGCATGGGACCCCAGGGCCTGGCACAGCGCTGCAGGTGGGGGGCCTTCAGCCGAGGTTTGTGAAATGAATGAACGAATGTTCAGCTGCTCAGTGTAAATATATGGGGCATGCAAGAGTGAATAAATGATTCAATGAGGCTTAGCTGGAACCCCCAGTCTCAAGGTGTTGCTGGGGGTGGGGTTTACCCAGGAGAGGATCTGGATACCCACACCCCTTGCCAGTCTCCAGGGCTAAGGCCAGCTCAGGCAAGACCTCAGCTGGGCAGGAAAGGTCAGGGCCCTGCAGGATTGGGGCCCCCTCTGGTTTTTGTCCTGCCCAGCCAGTGTGAAAGGCATTCCTGGGGAGGGTGGGGTCCCTGGGGGAGCAGCCCAGAGAAGGCAGCTTGCAGCTCCGGCTGCCCTCTTCCCAGCCGCCCTCCAGCCCAGGCCTCAGGCCCTGCACGTACATCGCATGCCTGAAAGCCCTTCTGGGAACATCATTTTTCTCCATCTTGCTCCATTTCCCAGACATATTTAGTGCTGGGGCATCTCCCCAGATTCTCTGGCCCAGAAAGAAGGTTCTAGAAGGTTCTGAGCCTTCTGATGGGCGCAGAGGGGTCTGGACAGCCCTACCTTTGGCCAAGAAGCCAGCTCGTGGGACCCTAAGTCCCCTCTTCCAGCTGTGGGCAGGGCAAGTCTTCTAAGAGGGTCAGCAAGGCAGGGCTCTTCCAGCCAGGGTCCCAGGGACAAGAAGAAGCGAAGACCCCCAGGGAACGGGGGGCACTTGCAGGCTGGGCACCTTTGACAAACTCCAGTGGTGGGTGGGTTTGGGCATCGCAGCTGAGAACGGGCAGGGCAGGAAGCCAGTGTGGCCCTGGCTGCGGCCTTGACAAACCTCTCCCGCTTGGCCTCAGCATTTGCATCTGCTCAGTGGAGAGAAGCTGCGCACAGCCTGCTTTTGTCATTTACTCAACACGTTTGTATTGAAGTATCCATAATGTGGCCCTCGTGCGCCATGGCTCCCAGGGAGGCCACTCCATCTAGATTAGGATAATGTGCCCATAAGCTGGAGGTGACCTCATCTGTGAGGGAGAGCCTTCCCGGAGCCCCCAGCCTCACGGTCTGTGGCCCATGCGGCCATGGCAGCTCTCGGGTCTTTGGCATCTCTGTTTCCTTGTTGGAACCATTTTCCTCCTCCTAGGATCCACACACGCGCGCGCGT